ACACTTCTGTATCTATGGTCAACATGTCACCATACATTGATAATAACGTTATAGCGAAATATCTGTATTGCACATGGTTTTAAAGTGCCCCAGATGGGCAAAAATATAATTGCAGGAAAACCTGACATGTTTCGCAATATTCGTCTGTTTGTTACATAATTTTGAGAAGTTAAATCAGCTACATTAAAGTTGAGAAAAGCAGGCATTGTGTGTGGTTATGCGTAAAATATTTGTTGTTTATTCAATGCACAAGCAAGATTTAAGTAATGTATGCATCAAAGAATATTTTCCTGAGGTCTTGTTTCATATCATTAAAATGATAAAAGTATAGTAATATCCAATGAGCCATGCAATGGACTAGAGTCGTGTGAATAACGTCCCAACAGCGGTTTAACACGGTCTTCATAAAGAGCGATATCTTAATCTTGCAGACTTCGAACTGCGCTCAGCCATTAGCAAAATTAGAGTTAGCGCCCATCCTTTGGAGATAGAGAGAGGCCGGTATAGAAGGCTACCTGTATGTGAAAGAATTTGTAAATATTGTAATGCAAAGGCTGTGGAAGACGAAATACACTTTATCTCAAATTGTTCCTTTCATAGCAACGCTCGAAATGAGTTGACTATTCAAACTTCTACAATTTATCCCAATTTTACTAAACTTACAGACCAAGAAAAAAACCCTTAGACATAGTTTTAGACATAGCTATAGCTCTAGACAACTACCTTTCATCTTGTAGATTTTAGTTATTACCTTTGCCAAGAAGGTTATGTTTTCAGTAGCGTTTGTCTGTGTGTGGGTATGTGTGTTTGTGTGTGTGTGGTTTAGCAAGATAACTCGAGAAGCAGTGGATGGTTTGGAATGAAACTTGGTAGGTGGGTAGGTCTTCATGAGACCTAGAAATGATTAGATTTTGGGCCCCCTGGCGGCTTTCCTAGGTACTGCAGCTGAACTTCCGGTTTTGATATCTCATGTTCTGGACATGCTAGGGTCACGAATTTTAATTGGTAGATAGCTCTTGTGGTAGGGAAGAAGTGACATGAGTTTGGGTCCCCTAGCGCCTTGTTCTGGAACTGCAGGAGCATTTGTTGAAAAAAATTTGAAGGACGATAACTCAAGAACCGGTTGACGTATTGTCGTGATTTTTGGTATGTAAGTAGTTGAAGTGATGCTTGACATAATCAGATGGTAATTATGCAAATCAGGCGCTAATTTGCATAATTAATGAGGAAATTCTATAACTCTGCTTTGTTCGATAATAGAACTATGAAACACTTGTGACATCTACTTGAGAACGAGAAAAACATCTGAGGATATATATTATGTAAATGAGGACCTAATTTGCATAATTAATGGAAAATTCTTATAATTTCATAGTTGTAACTGCTGCACCCCGAATTTCATACTTGCCACATTTGGAAGTTAAGTGAAGGTGAACATCAACAAACATAATTTATTCAAATCATGACCTCATTTGCATAATTTATGAGGAAGTGCTATAATAGCCTTTTTGTTATGATAAGGCTGTCATTGGATGAAGAATATGATCAACTGACATAGTCCATGCAAATGAGGCTGTTATTTACAAAATCAATGAATAAAATTGTATAATTCGTCACCCGCAAGGGTTAACCTCATTTGGCGAAGGTATGAGATTGTGGAACTCTTGTTTTATACTACGTTTCATTGTTCTTTTATGTTTGTAATCTGCAATTAGCCCCCCGGGCATGAATTTGCAATAAACTTCTAATAAAGCGCTGACTAGTGGCGGGTGAAGGTACTGCAGCCACGCCTACACTTCCCACCGTGACAATCCGGCTGCATCTGACCGTGACACGGTCTCAATTTAGCGCCGCCCAGTGGCGAGCTAAGGTACTGCAGCCACTTTTTCCTCCGTCTGACACGTTTTACTACCGGGCACCGAAATATACAGTTTAGTTGCATTCAACTTCCATCTAAGATGGTAGATCTAGCCTGGTAACCATCTCACGGGCAGCGTTCCAAATTTCCGTCTCGTAAACGGTCGTCGCCTTTCCGAACCGTCGTCGCCTTTTCTCAGAACGGTCGTCGCCTTTCCGAACGGTCGTCGCCTTTTCTAAGAACATTCGTCGCCTTTACAAATTTCCGTAATATCATAAAGGCGACGACCGTTCTGAGAAAAGGCGACGACCGTTCGGAAAGGCGACGACCGTTTACGAGACGGAAATCGGCGGCGGCGTTAGGGCATTTTCCACATATGCCTTGAGCAACGAGAAACTGCCAGACATGTCTGTAGTATACTCTTTAGTTTCTCTAGTTATCAGGGGTGCCAAAGAATTTATCAGAAGTTTACGGAATTCATACGATCCTTACTAGGAAACATACGAATTTTACGGAATACATACGATCCGTACTAGAAACATAGGAATTTTACGGAATACGTATACATACGATCCATTACACGGAATGCATACGATCCTTACTAATTTGGTGACTTGCACCACGATCAAGATGGCGGGCTATTATAGTGATGTTCTCCCTTCAATATCTTGGTTTCAAAGAATTTTAAGGGCTTATCCTGCCCTGCTAACCCCCAAACTGCACTTATGCGGGCTTCTTTCACGACATGGTAGACTGTATTTTAAACCAAATAGCAGGGCGAGGCTGGGAAACGGTGGAACCGGTGATCGCGGCGGCAAGTCACCAAATGACCCCAAATTAGTAAGGATGGTATGTTTCCGCGTAATGGATCGTATATATTCCGTAAACTTCGTATGTTTCCGCGTAATGGATTGTGTGTATTCCGTAAAATTCGTATTTTCCTAGTAAGATCGTATGAATTCCGTAAAATTCTTATGAATTCTTTGGCACCCCTGGTTATTGGAAGGCTTCATGAACTTGTTTTAGCTGCTAGACTCGTCTCTCCTAAGCTGAGGTTGCCTTCAGTACGGGCACGGTCAGATGCCGCCAGATTGTGTACCATGGCTGCAGTACCTTTACCCGACACTGGGCGGCGCTAGCACCGTGTTACGTCGGGTCAAACGTCAGAGTTTCGCCAGGTGAGTTCACAGGTATTTTAGCTCCGTGCTTCCATGATGTTACGGACGGAATTACTGCATTTAGCTGCCTTTCTACATGGAGGTAGAAGAGCCTCCATGCTTTCTGTGAAAGCGAGGAGGCTCAGGTATGTAGGTGTGAATCATTTTGTCCCCTTTATGTGGTAAATTGATAGTTGAAGGTTCTGCGATGCTGATATGTTGTCATCCGTAAAATGAATGAATGAATGAATGAATGAATGAATGAATGAATGAATGAATGAATGAATGAATGAATGAATGAATGAATGAATAATCCACAAACAAAAGCTGCTGCTGTTTGGAAGGCTTGCGAGATTACATCACACGTGTTTGGCCAAGAAGGTTTTCCTCTTCAGACTGTATTCCTTTGTTCTTTGTAAGAACAAGCAGGGAACAAGAGGGTTGATCAAGGACTGTTTTGAAATAGCTGAACAATATGGCCTGACAGAGTACCTAGAGAACTACTGTAGCACCCTCGACTTTCCAAGCAAGGAGCTGTGGAAAGTCACTGTAAAGAAAGCAGTAACAGAGGAAGAAGAAAGAAGATGGGTGCAGAATGTAGGGGAACACACATGCTGTCCTAGACTATATAAGACACACGAGACAAATATGAGACCTCACCGACTGTGGTTTGTAGCCAAGAAGAACCCACAGCATAGAGAGAACCTGCAAAGGCTCATACACATGTGCACGATTCCAGTCAACCAAACTCCTAGATCATGCCCCACCTGTGGAAATGCAGTCAGTGACCTCATAGAACACTTCCTCACCATATGCCCAACCTTCAGGAACACTAGAACTGACCTCATGGACAACATAACAGACCATCTAGGGACCAGAGTAGCTGCCGACATACACCAACAGCACGAGGAGAGGTTTGTGGAGGTGGTTCTTGGAGCCCGGGTCTGTGAGGAGGTAGAACCCAGAACAATGGGAGGACTTCATAAATTAATGCTGCCCGAACACTAAAACCCCTCGGGTCTGATGGCTCTGAAGCACACAACATGGAAGTAACTGAACTGACACATGGACCAGATTTATGAGTATGATTGTGTATATGATTACCCAGAATTCTCAAATATAACTGTAACACTCTGAGATATAAGGATACGCAGGCGTACCTCTTGTATAGTGACCCATATTTTGACTCAACATGTTCTGATTAGATTTGGGTGTACTTAATCACCAAGCAGGGAGAGACATGTAGTGTGCTACGATCAGTTTTTAATAGATACATATATTGAGGATTGTTTTGAGACCTGTATTCTAAGCGGTTGGTAGGAGAAAGATTGTTCTCGTGAAATGTCTTGCTTTTGATATAGTCAGCAGTGAATAATGTCACTTATACTGACTCGTCTTGTGAGTATTCAAGGACCCAGTTCCTGAGTTGGTCCTCATGTGAGAGAGACGCATACACAGAGAGATAAACTAGTAATCAGTGCTGATGTTTGGACAGTTGTGAAACTTGAAACAGAGTAACCCTTTATATTTTTATTATTCTAAGATTTTTTTTTATTCCAGTATAGTAATGTGCAATATGTAAGGATTGTTTTATATAGCTTTGTTTTAAAATGTACGTACAAGCATGTATATGTTTGTTCAAGAGGCTCTCCTGGATGGAGGAATAAAGAATGGAAAGGAAATGAATGAATGAATGAATGAATGAATGAATGAATGAATGAATGAATGAATGAATGAATGAATGAATGAATGAATGAATGAATGAATGAATGAATGAATGAATGAATGAATGAATGAATGAATGAATGAATGAACGAAGTAAGGGGAATAAAATCGAACATCATAAAACTGGAAGAAAAGAGCGGCCCGATGGGCAGCAGAAACGCAATATGAGGTAGATATGGTGCTTGACCGCATGTTAGTTCTGAATTCATATGGTGAACAATCGTCCTTATTTCTAGATATTTCCACATAAATAACGTTTCCATCCGACATCACAAATGCCTGCAGTCGACTGTACGGAAACGGTACTGCAGTTACTGGTCTCCATCTCCCACCGTCACAATCGGACTTGCTCCCTCGTAGTGTCTGGTGCCGTAAAATGTTCTTTATATTCTTTAATTTGTCAAGAGCTCGGCTGGGAGACTTTATCCGAAAGGCGACACATTCATCGCCAAATACTGTTTCATAACATTGTAAATGAATGTACCCGGGTTAAGTTACCGCTTTAGGCCATGTTTATTTGATTATATGGATGACATCCACGTGCGCATGAATTTTCGGCCGTTTCCAAAAAAAAAGTTTTCGGCCATACTGTAAATCGTACGAAGCAGCTGCAAAATGAGCAAATATATGCCGCAAACTTTAAGAAGGAAAACGATACTTACGTCACAGAATGCCAAAATCCATTCCAAAGGAAGAGAATAAATGTAAAGGAATGAAAATGAAGAGTCTATTATTCACCATGCCAATAAAATATTACTTTGTGTTTAATCATTTGTTCAACCTTCATGGCCACGTAGATTTCATAATGAAGGCAACTTTTTTCATTCGCACGATCGCATCAGTTTTTGGGTTCCGAGTTGATGTCAACCATATAATCAAATCTACATGGCCTAACTTAATTACCTAAATGAGAAAATGCAAATTATGGTGATTCCTTATCAGGTTGTAAGACCACGTTGCTTAGAGCAAGATGGCGAGTCACGGTGCGTGGACACGGAAGAACTCGGTGGTTAAAATTCGCGTTTCAAGACAAGCTACGTCCGTTTAAGGAGGTGAGTCGTGTGGCGCAACTGGCAGAGCGTTCGGCTCAGAACCACGAGGTCCCGGGTTCAAACCCCGCCATGTCTCCCATCTTGTGCCCTTGAGAAAGGCACTTTACACGACTGTCCTGGATGGAGGCCTGGCGAACCCCATTTCGTATTAGCCACAAAAAAGGCAGCAGTATCTTCTGCTAGTTGGCTGCCTCAATGAAAGAAGAAAAAAAAGAAGAGAATGAAGCTAAAACGCAGAATGGAGTAAGTTAGTTGCGCCGGTGACGATTCCCTGTGTTTAAACCTGCACTTAGTCAAAAGCTGCCGTTCGGGAACGCTATTTCATGCCCGTTTTGAACTACCATAGCATGATGACTACATTTAAGATACGCTCGTTTCCTCCTCTGTTTTCTGAATTATTTCCTGATTTATATATGCATTATGTAAGCCATCTTTTCCCATAATGTTCTGTCAATATAAGATGTGCTTGAATGCTGCTGAACTGACGTTTGAATAGCATTCTGTGTGTTGTTGGTGACTGTTCTGAGGTACTAGTATTTTATGTGAGATGTACTTTGATTTTTCCATGGTCTTGATATTATGTTTTCCTAATAATATGTTGACTTTTGATTGAATGTTGACTGCACTTTTGCTCTGCTCTTTACCTACTCGGAACCTGCTCTTGCCCCCGACCCAAAGCACTTTATTTAAATCTCAAACAAATGATGTGAGTATTGCAATGTATGATGCTCTGTGAGTAATTGTTATACGAGTATTTGGCCTGTGATCTTTCTGAATGTGTATTTCTTTTACATCCTCTGCCTGAGATGCTGCTAATGTATAGCTGACGTTGTGGGACCTGTCTCCTGTTTGTGCTGTGGGACCTGTCAGCTATCCTGTGTACCTGTCCACACTCTAGGACTATTATTCCAGGTGGATCTACCTGTTTCTGAAGAACATGTTACCTATCTACAAGAGAAGAGATGTGATAAAACGTCCAGCCAGTACAAGTGAACCAAAATACGTTGTCGTTGCTTATTGCAGCATTCTGCACCTTGCCATTTCAATTTTGCATAATTTGAACAACGATTTAATACCAAATGTAATGTACGTGAAACCAAGTTGAACAAATGTAAATCGCGGGCGCTGCCTTACAGAAGTTAGCATGCGAAGTGCGATCGGGACCTCCCATGCAGACCCTTAAAATGACAACGAATGATGTTGGGAAAGGGCATGTTTGCGATTCTCTGAATTTTTTGTTCTAAATTGCCATTGTTGAAGCTAGGCCCTCCCTGCTATTAGTTGTCATTTCTGAAAGAGTTCACATTCCTAACTAATATTTAGTTTAAGGTTGTGACTAATCTTTTATTGTACATTTTCCAATTGAGGAGAGTACTTTTAATGATTGTCTGTTGTTTTATTCTGTATAGCAATGGGACATATTTTCTACAGCATTTGTGATCAAACTGTTTTCCCTAATATCCTCTTTATCATGATACACAGGCTTCAGTGTACTACATGGAAACCTACGCTGGGACGGTCATGTCGACAGGGTGACCACCAAAGCAAATAACACTTTAAACTTTCTTAGACGGAAATTAATATATCTAACCCTCAAGTTAAGGCACGAGCATACAAGACCCTCGTAAGGCCGTTACTAGAATATTGTCAAACCGTTTGGGACTCTTACACTCAAAACAACATTCGTAACTTGGAAGCAGTACAGCGGCGAGCGGCGCGCTTTGCCCTCCATCGTTATCGACGCCAGTCTAGTGTGACAAATATGTTGTCTTCACTTGAATGGCCCCTGCTTGTGGAGAGGAGGCGTAGAGCTAGGCTGATCATGTTTTTCAAAATTACAAACAATATAGTAGCCACACAGATGCCTCTTGTCACCAAAGGACTGTCAACTGCATCACGCACAGAAACCAGTCTTGCCTTCCACCCTCCATTTTCGCGTGCAGACTACCACTTACTTTAAACTCATTCTTTCCAAGAACAGTCAGAGACTGGAACAAACTTCCAGAACACATAGTTAAAGCCAAGACCCTACAGGCATTCAAAAATGCCCTAAATAACCTTTAGTCTCCCATTCACAGTACGGGTACTCACCGCTACCCACTTGCAGGGTCGCGGACAGGGAGTAGCGCCCCTGCCCATTGAGGAGCTGGGTCCCTCCTTTTACTCACCCCCATACAAACTTTACAAGAAAGCGACCATCCTTCACCCCCGTGTCATGAGTCTTCGACCTAATGAAGTTTCGACACGTAAACTGAAGAAGAAGTATATACTGTATATACATGTACTAAAATACATCAATCCCTCGGGTGTACTGTTGTGTCAAAGAAAACGTCGTGTAAAGTATTGAGGCCACAACTGCAATACATGGAATTGATGGTGAGTTCAGCACCAAGGAGAGGTCTACACTAAGGCCGCACAACACAGTATTTATGGGCGAACCCCTCAGAAGTAGTCCGGGCACAAAGTAGTGCTGCACAATGCCAGAAAAAGGTGCAGAGATTATTCTGTGCATGGCATCGAGATGGAACCTGTGGTAAATGTTAGAGGAATACGTCAGTTTTGAGACTGTAAAAGTTGAATTATGGTGCGTGTTCAGTCGGCGTAGGTTTGCGCTTGGATACTTGTCCCGCCGCTGTGCGTCGGCTGCATGACCTTTGCAGTGGAGACTGGGAACGGAAATGGCGACTGCCATGGAAAAAGACTTGCGAGGTAAGACAACAAATTAGCCCCTTAAACGTACATGTTTGTACTTCCAACAAACCTGTAGCAACAGACCACGTTATAATTCGTCATTTTAACTGCAGAAATTTGCGTTTTGTGGAACGATATGTCGCACCAAGGAGTTTCCATCTCCTTCGTCGCACACAAATTATTGTGAGACATTTTGTATTTGAGTATATTTAACATCAGGATTCCATTTGTTGTTGTTGTCTTGGCCTTTTTTGCTGGTATGTAAGAACAATAACAGTGTTGATATTGTTCTAATCTATGCAAATTTGTGTGTTCTTCATATAGCAATTTGAAGAATGTTCAAACTTTTTGGCCTTTCCAACTTTGAAAGTCAAAGTTTATTGCACAATGATTGCCACAGGTACAATGTATGGCAAATAATAAAGTTACTAGTTAGTATGAGTCTATATATATGGTCAGTGGTTACTGTGTCTGAC